CTGGAGAAAGAGGGTAGGAGACTCTTGGAGGCCATGTGCACCTGCTCGTCGCGCTCTTTCTCCAGTGAGGGGGTGGAGAAGAGGAAGAAGAAGAGGAACGTGTGGAGGGGTGTCCTTTTGGCGGCTCGGTGCCGTAAGTCCCGCTGCCGCGAGCTTCCCATTTATAAATGGGGTCGATTCTGCTGCCGCATCGGCTCTTGGTCCCCGTATTCCCCTCGTGCGAAATCCAGGCTGCTACCGCTGCACCGCAGAGGGCTGGTGAGTCAGTCCCGTGTGACGTCTTAATGAGAGGAGGGAGAGAGGCTTTTGATACTTGAAACGACAGGCTGCCAGGGGCCTACCTTTACCAATTTGAAGAGGTTTGGTTCTTGCCCTTTTTTTTATTTTGAAGGAAAACCCAGCTGGTCAGGGAAAAGAAGCCTAACCTCTAGCAGCAGTCTTCTCCTTTCTTCTGCCCACAAGAAGAGCTAATAAAGGGCAGGGAGGAGGAACCCCAGTCAGGAAATGCCCTGGAATTCCTCCACTGCCAAGTTTTTCTGTCTTGTGTTCTGCTGCTTTTGGAGATGCGGAGCCTGCAAGCAAGAACAGGCAGCAGCAACTCCTTCCTTTCTGACTCATCCTTTCTGGGCATGGTGGCAAATAGAACTAGGCCCACAATGGCAATGAAAAGCGGTAGCATCTGCTTATTTGCTCATTTCCTTTCTCTGAGCAGCTCAGCCTAGAGAATTGATCATTGAAGGAGCATGTGCGCACACATACACCTATTTTTTCACTCTTTTCTCTCTGTAGGTGAACTAAACTTAAGTACTGGCCTTAACCAGAATATCCAGAAGGACCAAATGAGTAAAAGGAAGCTGCTTGCTGACTTGCTTTCTTTAACTGAGTGGTACAGAGCAAAGTAGAAAGTTAACAAAGGGTGGTTGTTGCTCCTTGAATGTCTGTGGGCTCTTTTGTCCTCTCACAAAACATCCCATGTATGGAGAATCTTGGAAGGCGTAAGTCCAAACCTAAAAAGCTTGTATGTATGAACTAAGCCATATGTTAAACTGTTGTGGAGCTTGTTTTGTTAACAATGGTTAGCAAGTAACATGATTTTCAGCAAGTATTCTCACACTCTGATACTGCAACCTCCAGACAAGATCATTCATGAATAAAATTAATGGGCTTGGGGATCGCAACAAATAAACTTCTCAGCAATACAGTAGATTGGTCATTTTTAGGTTTTTCTCTTGCCACTCAGCTGTAAACATTTCCATTTTAAAAAGCTATAAATTTAAATTTTGGGAAATACATACACTGAACTTCACTAACATATACACTTATTGAATCCTAGAACTCTCGAATTAGAAGGGACCAAAAGGGTCATCTAGTCCAACTTTCTGCAGTGTGCAGGAAAAACAAAGCATCTTTGAGAGGTATTTCTATTTTTTTCTTTGAAACTTCCAAAAATGGAGAACCCACAGTCTGCACAGATACACTGTTCCAGTCTTGTAATATTTTTGTGTCAGGATATGTTTCCTTTTACTTAACCAAAATCTAGGTAGCTGCATCTTATACCTGTTATTTCTGGGCCTAGTTTCTGTAGCAATGGAAAATTGATCGTCTTCCCTGTTGAATCCTTTTATGTGCGTGAAAGTGGGACTGGTTCTCTCAAGTCATCTTTTCTTCACACTGAATATGCCAAGTTCCTTTAATCTGTCCTCTTAGGGCATGTCCTCAGTGTCCCCATATCATCTTTGTTGCTGTCCTCTGAGCCTATTGTAGCCTGTTACCATCTTGCTGGAAATGTGGTACCCTGATGTGTACAGTACAGTACATAGTATGGTCTCGCTAATGCAGAGTAGAGAGGAATAATTTCTTCACATGTCTTTAATATATTGCTTCATCTGATGCAGCCAGAATAGCTAGCACTGATAGCTGACATTCAGCTTGTTATTAATGACAACACATAGGTTTTGCTGTGATGTAATGCTTCCAAGCCAGGTATTATTATGGTCTACTCCTTTGAATCAAAGGCTGATTCAACAAGTTGTCAAGTCTTGGGAACTGTCAGGCAATAAAACATCTGATGTAGACCAGGCAGACAATAAGCAGGAGCAGGTGAGGGCAAACTCAGGTGAAGGGCCAGATCCTGGCAGTGTGCCTAGCCCCAAGGCACATCATCAGCTTCAGAGAATAGAGCAAAGGCAGTCTTCTCAGCTACTCAGGAAGCAAGGACAACAGTGCCCCTAATTAAGCCACACCTGCACCTGAGGTTACTGAGGAGCAGTGGCCAGGACTTTGTTCTCTGCTGAAACAACTCTTTGATGTTGGACCTGTATTCCTGTATCCTTGTTCCTTACTGTGCTCATGGACTCTTGGCTTTATAACTCTAAGTTTGTGGAACTCTCTGGTGTTTGAATCCTCTGGACTGACCTATTACCTCTGTTGTTTCTCTGTCACTGTCTCCCCTGTTTTCCTGAACATGGATGCTGGCTGCCCAACTTCTAGCCTGGCCTCTTGTGTTATACAGCTACAACTTTGAACGGGACTCTGTGGACCTCTGGCTCTGAACTCTCAATTTTAAAGCTGCATTGGTGCTGCTGATGTTGTGCCTGGCTACCAGGCAAAATATCACCTTCTTTGCATTTCTCCTGGAGCATGTGCGTGACTGTGTAACTGGGTGTTCTACCTGTATTTTTAGCTGTTTGAAGTACAAACTCAATATTAAATCAATTGTAGCTTGCTTTGGAGTGATTGCTCAGTCTAGAAAGGAACACCATGAATCCCCCATCTTGTTTGTGTCCCTTATCTTTCCTCCCTAAATGTAATACCTTCCATTTCTCCCTGTTGAAGGGCCTCTTATTCCTCTCAGCCCAGTCTTCCAATCTGTCCAGGTTAGATTGCAATCTCACTTTTTTTCCCCAGAATATTGCCACACATTCCAGTTCTGTATAATCTGTAAACTAAGCAGCTTATCAATTCCATTATCCAGATCGCTAATAAAAATACCGAATAATACTGGGCCCAAGACACATTCCTACAGGGCCCAGTGGTTACTGCTCTCTGGCTTGATGTAGAGCCATTAATGCTGATTAGCTGAGTGAGGTTACTCAGTCTGCTGGGGACCTTATTGTAGTACCATCTGAACCATATTTTAAGTTTGTCAATGAGAATGTCCTGTGGAACCTTGTCAAAAGCTTTGTTGAAATGAAGGTAGATTATATCCACAGTACTCCTCTTGTCCATCAAAATAGTTTAACAAACAAGGAGACAAGGTTTGTCTCCCATGCGCCACACTGGCTCTTAGCAATCACAACAATGTCTTCAAGATTCTTACAAATGGACTGCATTATTTTCTGCTCTGTCTTCTTGCCAAATATTGGTAACTAATTACTAGGATACTCTTTTGGATCCCATATATAGGAATCACATTTGCTCTTCTCCAGTCTTCTGTCACCTTCCCAGTTCTCCAGAACTTCTCAAAGACAATTGATACAGGTTTTAACATCTCTTCAGTATTCTAGGGAATATTTAATCAAGAGACTAAGGATTCAAATCATCTAAAAGATCCTTTACCACATCCTTATTTATCTGTACCCTCCCCTGTTGTGTTTATTCCCACTCTGTACTAAAGTAGCCACGTAAAGACAGGGAAAATAGGAGTAGAATTCCTCTGCTTTCTCCTGCTTAACATTTGAAATAAGCAAGCCCACCACTTTTTTGCTTAACTTGCTAGCCTTAGCTCATTTCTTGCCTATGCAAGTTGGATCAGCTTTAAAAACAATTTGAGAACCCTTGATTTATGATTTATCATGTGTGCAAACATGGCCACCATCTGAACCAAAGGAATGGAAACAAGATGGGCATGTATTGCTTGGTTTTTATTGTCTTTTGTCATTGAGTGAGCTATTTTTCCTTCAGTATAAAAATAACCGTTAGGAACTTTCTTCCAAATAAACATTTAATGTAATTCATAATTAAGACAGCAAGTTTGTTAACAAGTTACTATTATTTATTGCATTCACCTCAGGTGAATACTGAATTCAGAATACTGAATGCAACTTAACTCTTTGCAAGTTTATTTGAAGTCATCCTATTGCCGGTGCCTTTGCAAGCCAAATGATGTTTATGGCAATGAAGTTCCTGTCTTTCCTGCCTTCCTTAACCACTAGAATGGCTACTGAGCTTGCCCCTCTTTATGAGAAAGGCAAGTCAGCAGTTTACAAGTGCTCTGTGTAGTTTTGTGTAGAATAGCAGATAGAAAAGCTACCCATCAGCTTTTCCTGCAGGAAACACATTCAGGGTGTTTTTCTGGTTTAGGTAGTGCTAGGTACAGATGTTTATAGCTAATTTGTCTAGCAGTAGCCAAAGAGATTCTTGGGAAAAGCAGGCACATGCATAAGATATTATCAGACAAACTCTTAAAATCTTTTAAAAGTTAAAGACAGTTAAAGACAGGAAGATCCCAAGGGCACTACATAGCCTACCTCAATAAAAAGCAAAGCCATAATTAAGTAATAAGAGCAGTTCATTAATATCTTACCAAATTCAGCAGTAAATTTAAATAGCAACAGCAGTTGTTTCAAATTAGAATAGTACACGGGACATTTTAACTGATGTATAATACCTTTAATGCTCAGCTAACCAACCTTACTGGATCTCAGAAAGCTAAGTCAAATCTGAATGGGAAACCACCTGAGAAAAAGCTAGACTGAGAACTAAAAACATGCTAGAATAAATCAGTAGCAAACTTCTGTATAATTGCTGAGGAAACTACATAGTTGTGTCCAATAACCAGGAACTGATCCTGTCTCAAGGGAAACTACAGGTAGTCCCCAGTTTAAGAACTAGTTCCATTCCCAAGGTCTGTCCTTAAATCGAATTTGTATGTACGCTGGAACAGTATTATTGTATAATACTGTATAAGTAGTATTGTGTAATTAACTCGAACCATTGTTTATTTAACTTGAATGATTGTGTATTTAACTCGAATTCTGCTATAATAGGCTCATTTGTTAACTGGGTTGTCCTTAAACCAGGCATTCTTAACCCAGGGACTCTGTACTTAAATATTCTTAATGGAACTGGTAAACATGGAAGGGAAACAGAAACCACACAAAACAAAGGTAGTACCGCAGAGTAGTATTCCCCTGGAAGAAATCAGGAAAGTGTGGACCACCCAGAAATAGGTCTCCCATAATCTTAACCTATCAAATTCCTATGGCAACAAGCTATCTTAGATATCATTCTTCACTAATTCTCTCAATCTAATCAAACCAGAACTGCTTTTTAGTACATTCCTTTAACATGAATAAACTTAAAACACATATTTGAAACAAACTTTTTTCCTAAGTAAATTCATGAACAATCCCTATGCTCATTCATTCTTGAGTCTCCGAATACAGTCACTTTTTCTGTACTTACCTCATTCCCACCTATCTATTAATTCACCCAATAAAATTTTCCTACAGTTCACATTTCATTTAGAATGTTGCACAGTTTTTTCCCAACTTTGCCCTTGTTTTCATTTCCACCATTCACTAGGGTATAAAATACAACTATTACCCACTTACAAATTCTTACTTTCACATGCACTCAAAATAACCTAGATGGAACCTGTTCATACTTGCTGACATACATTTTAGTCCTTTCATAATTAAACCTACACTTTTACTTCCACACATGTATTAATCAGCTCTATTCCACAAAATCACACTACTTCATTGATCTTTCTTTTATTTTCACAAATATACAGCATAACTATTTATTTCATTCATTAATTCATGATCCTTATCATGTATTTCTCTTACATTTCAGGTTACAATCTTCCATGCAGCAGAATCATCAAGAGATAACTCATAAATATTGATCTACACTGCCCATGATTTTGGTCAGCTGAGGCTTTCACATAATGCTTTTTAGCAATATAAAAATAGATTAGATTACAAGTTATACCTATACCACATGCTGCATCCTGCTAATGGTCAGGACACAAGTCTAAACTGACAATTTGTTTAGAATGCCACAAATACAGCCAAAGTCCAATTTTGTCTGAAGCATGCTTATCCAATTCTATGCAAACTAGGATTTCTAATCTAAAGACTGTCTTGCCAGCCAACATATTATTATTGCCTGTATCCTATATACTAGGAGGCACGTGGAATGTACTGACATAGGATACTATATCTTATCCTTGTTTTATTATATTTTTTCATAATCATTTATGCTATGTCTATTCATTCAGGTTCAAAACACATTTTTTCATGGTTTAGTAAATAGTTCTGTGCAAGTTGCACTTCTCACCTGTAACCATCCTTCTACATTCTTATTACTGTTTTAATTTATCTAAAATGGAATATATTTTGTATTTCTAAACATTATATTCTTGTTAGAAAATCCAATCAATGCATAATTTTCTTCACATCAACTAAAGTAAAATAGAAAATGAAATATTAGAAATGGGGGGGGTGAGGGGAAGGCTGTCCACAGATTTATAAAGTTAATACAAATTGAATTGTAATAACTTATAGAATGTGAAAAAAAACCTGCTATTTTCTTTATTCTGATTCCTTTTTTGGTTAGTATATTGAAAGCCAAAGCTAGAAATTACTTCAGCTATTATTAACTGCTATAGCGTGGATACACCTTATAGGAATCTATTTTCATTTGTTTTGCTTGGCCTCTTATTGACAGAGAGCACATTTAGTATTTTTAACTGGTTAATACATTATGAAAAAATCATTAGTAATTCAAAATGGTAACGTGATTAATCAAATAAATCAAATTCCTCGTACATTTAATGACAAATAATTCCTATAGAATTGGCAGAAATATCCAAACTTTAAGGCGATTAAAACCTTCAGCTTGTGATAGCACACGTTTCTCGGGACTAGAAATTCAACAACGGAATTCCGTAGCCGTTTGTTGTAGGTGACCCAGGAGGAGCGATCAGGAAGTAGCAACTGAAGATTACTCGCGATCTTAGGGCAAAATGTAGCGAGCAAACGTGTGTTCGTGGTTTTCCAATCGAGCGAACTGTTTATCAGAATAAGGACATGCCACCGCTTCGGTTTCCTGCGTCCTCTTGCCGCGCCAGGCGCTCATTTTCTCCGCAGAGGTGGGAATAAGCGGTCGGTGCGGCGCGCGCTCCCCCCGCGCCCACGTCCTGCGCCTACCCTTGGGGCGCGCGCCCGAAGAGGCGGCGTTTCGGCAACAGCCGGGTATTTGCGCATAAGAGACAGGAAGTTCCTCCTGCGGCTTCGTTCTAACCCGCTTCGCTAAGAAGCTTCCGGTTTCACAGTTCGGGTTCTTGGTGGAGGAGGTTGGTGGAGGAGGTAGCTCAGAGGCTTTCCTGGTAGTCTGCTTATTCAGTCTCTTCTTTTCTCACCTCCATACCTGGACTAGAGCCCGACGTTCGGCCAAAAGGGATGAGTTTTATTATCCCCCCGTGCCGCTTTTCACAGGTCTTTTTTTGAGGAGCTCTCCAAAGCCGGGGCGAGGGGGGAATCACTACCGGATGGAGCTCCCATCGTGTTTTCTCCCTTCGGCACAATTCTAAACATTGAAGCAGTGACTTGTCTCCAAGTAAGCACACGGGATTGCCCCAGGGTCAACAGGGAACGTGGCTGTTCCCGTAGCATCTGCTCTTTCTCATCCTTGCCGTGCTGTGTCATGTGTGAACATGCGTGGTTTATTAGGGTAACATGCATATTCTTTCAGGTGCCTTAGAACAACATGTTTTTTTTCTTTAATAATTTGAGCATATTTCTCTTCCCAGTGTGAGTTGATTACTGTGGAAGAATCACAGATCTGTGAATTTGGAATTAGCAACTAGGAACAGTTAGTGAACAACAAGTGTACTACGTTGAATACAATGCTGCAGCAAGCAGAGACAAACTGTGACAGCAGAGAAAATGCAGATGTACAGAAGGTGGAAGATTACATTTCCAGAAACAGAAAGCTGTTGGGGAAAGAGTATTGTACCCAAGAGTTGCGGGAGGAGACTCCAGGGAGAGAAGAACCCCGTATTGATCCACCTGATGGCCAGCAAGACCCAGAAAATGAGAAAAACAAAGAGAAAACTTTAGGTACTTCTTGACATTTAAACATAGTTTTCTAGCATTGAACATATTGTTTATGTCTTTATTACATATTTAAAACTCCCATGCTCTTAATAATTATGCATCTTAAAACTCAAGAAATATTTTATCAAACCTTATTAAATACAATTTTGATAATTAAAAGTTCGGTGCTTTACTGGCTGCCTCTCTAAACTTCTATACTTTGTAGATAAATTGGCTTTTTTTATATGGAAACTAGTATTTGTACCAAATTTATTTATACTGTGATTTTCAGTAGTTTTGTTGCACATTCTCAGGCCTTGTATTATATCAAAAATGGTGTTGCTTTTGGGGTTAAATTTCCTCATATTTTACATTTTTGGTTGTCAACATTCTAATTATTAACGTAATGAAGCTCCTCACTGTCTGGTAATAAATATTTTTATTGGTCCATAGGAAAAGAAGTATTGTTACTTATGCAAGCTTTAAACACACTTGCTACTCCAGAAGAAAAGCTAGCAGCACTTTGCAAGAAATATGCTGACCTGGTAATATGTTGCAGATTTAATATTATATATGTGGATAGCCTAATCAACCTTGACTGATCCTGGACAAGCTAAGCAGGATTAAATCTAACTAATACTTTAATGGGATGACACCAGGAAAATCCAGGGTCATAGAGTAGACTGGGAAATCAAAGGAGCATTAGCAAACCACTGTCATATTGTCTTGTCCCTGTGTGTACTAGGGTCGGGGGCAACTCAGTGGAGACTTTATATAAGTAGCTGCATGTAAAGTCTGGCAAGAATATATCTAAAGGACAGATCTGCTGGAAAAACAACAAATTAAAAACAATTACCAAATATTTATTGTCTAATAAAATGTAATGCAGCAGATAGCAGATTCAAACAAGTAACTTCAGGAATCTTCCTTAATAGTCAAGAAATTAACACAGGCAAAGATTTGTGTTTTCTCTATCCTATCCTGGTCTTTTGAAAAATGATTTCCCTTAGTTCTTTATATAATCTAAACAGTATGTGGAAAAGGCCAGGAAGCACTTCCAGCTCCTTGGATGCTTTCTCCAAACATGGCTGTAGCTTAGCTTTCACCACACCATGTTCTGTGAATGGGATTCTCTGACTTCAGAAAAAGTCAGCTGTAGAAGCTGGTGAAAGAGAACCTGTAGTACCTGAGTGATAGGGCAATCAATGTATGGCCTAGGAATGGAAGCTAAGCATGGAATTGAATTGCTTTAATATAATTTAAAAAGTGAATTCAACTCTGACAAATACGCTACTTCCTGCAGAGGTAGCTTCACAAAGTCCATTGGCACAAAAGAGTACCTTTGCATAAGCCATTAAAGTAGCTTAATGCTACTGTTTCTTTGGTTGTTTGTACATATGTGTACATGCATAGCTGATGCTTTTTACTGGTAGTCCTAGCAGAAGATCCTTTAAAGTATTTTTAAAATATACTTGACACTCTCATTTTCACAAAAGTGAAAATGAAAAGTGACATATTTTTAACTGTAATTAAAACTTATTATTTGGGAAAATAGAAAAGAAGCTCCAGGTAATTACCAACATTACCATAATAAAGATATGTGTAGTAAGAGCTGAGTTAGTGGGATGAGTTGACTTTTGCCTCAGCCTCAGTTTCAAGTTATAGACTAAAGATAGATAAAACTACATATTAGAGAAACTGACAATTTCAAATGTACATGCCATGTCCCAAATTGATCTTCCTTGGAATTCCAGAAGTTAAAGATGTTCTTTAATCGTAACTAAATTCAGATATGCTGTATCTTCTCTTTTTCCGTTTAGCTGGAGGAGAGCCGAAATGTTCAGAGACAAATGAAGATGCTGCAGAAGAAACAAGCGCAGGTTGTAAAAGAGAAAGTACACCTCCAGAGTGAACATAGCAAAGCAATTCTTGCACGTAGCAAACTGGAATCTCTGTGTCGAGAGCTACAACGCCATAATAAGACTCTGAAGGTTAGTTTTATGCAGTAATCCATGGGCAAACCTGAAACAGATAGCTGTGTATAAAAAAGGCTGGCTGTATAATGTGTTGGAGTTGTAACAAAATGGGAAAAAGAATGGATGTGAAGGTGATCTGGCTGCAACATCTACTACCCCACCATTGTCTGGGTTGATTCACCTGCCTAGGCGGGTGTTCCCTTCATCCTTCACTCCTCCATGGGTGACTCCCAAAGCCAAGCACTAAATGGAACAGCACGACCATCCTAGATAGAGTTGTACTGTTTTTCAGTTCAGGGTATATGATAACTGCAGCTTGTAGTCAGGAGAGTTTTCAAAGTGGTGAAGAAAGATGTAGAGCTGCCTGCTCCCTTTCTTTCTTGGCCTGGTTTCCTCTAATTGTTAGCAAAGTGTCACTATAGGATTTATGATGCCATGTTCCTATTATTTGAATATTTGATATAATTAGATGCTTTCCTTTGGGCTTCTAGCATGAGACAATTAGGAAAAGGATTATATCCATTTATCCCATAAATAAATATTTCCTCTTATATCTTATTAAAATGGTTGTTGATTTATAACATTAAGCCATGGCTTGTTTTGCATACAGCTCATACACACATCACTCTCAGTAATAAGCCATGATTTATCAATCACATTGACTATGTTCATATAGTAATATTAAGCTAACCAAATTATTTATTAAGTTTACATGCTGGGTTTCCTTTGTTTAAAAGCTATTCCAGAGTGAGATTTTTTTTAAAAAAGGACAATTTTTTAAAGTATGTACAGTTAAATAAATAATGCTTTTAAAAAACTCCTAAAACAACTTTTAAACCATAAACTTTTGAAAACTTTGAAAAGTCTGACACAGTGCACCACTCCCAAACCAGTTATTAGTGCCAGATGAGGACTATTCATTATATCATTGTGACCTTTGGAATTTCAGCGAAACTGGTATTCTGTTCTTAACTCCTTGTGTGGAAATTCAACTTTGGAATAGCTCCTATTATTTCACTGTGGCTGAAATAAGAACCAATCTGATTTTGATCTTCTATTACCTGAATAATAAGTTGAAACTGATATTGTACTATTGTGTAGGCCTATTACAGCTAATTTGACTAGATTTTTTCATATTTCTCTGAATCATATCATGAACATTTCTTCTGTAGGGCAGAGTGTTCAACAAAATGGCTTCAAGTTAGGGACAGAATTAAACAGGATAGTCCCTAATTGCCTAGCAAGAGCCAGCTATGCCGGACATGGACACCTTCTAGTTTCTCTGTGGTAGTCCTGCTGGCTTTCATCCGAAGCGATTCTACTTTGAAATGAATTTATTTATAAGTAGCTTTCTTTTCCAAGTTCAAGTCCACAGTTACCACATCTATAGTTTAGAAGCCTTACAAAAATGGTGCCTCAATTACAAATCAGTCTTCATGCATACTTGTCAGATGAAATGTTGCAAGAATTTGAAAACCAGTATGATTCTAATATTTTGAGACATTAAGATGACACTGGGTTGCATTTTCTTACTGACGGCCAAAATCTAACTAAAAAAGCATGTTTGTAAGTGGATTTTAATCTCTTTGGGCAAAAGGAAGAAAATATGCAACAAGCCCGTGAAGAGGAGGAGAGACGTAAAGAAGCAACAGTACACTTCCAGATTACGTTAAATGAAATTCAGGCACAGCTAGAACAGCATGGTGTACACAATGCAAAGCTCCGCCAAGAAAATATTGAACTGGGGGAGAAACTGAAGAAACTTGTAGAACAGTATGCACTCCGAGAAGAAGTAAGTAAACCATTCTAGTAATACTTCATTACAGTGTATTACCCAAAATAAGGGTTCATCCACATCTCCCCAGCATTCTGGACCAGATTTAGGAAATTATTTAGGGAATAATCCATCTACAGACATAGATTAGGTGAAGAGGTAGCCCAACATTATCCAGTCAGTATCCATGCTTATTGAGGATGTTAGCTTATGTTTCCCCAAATCTGGTCCAGCATCCAAATCACTATTATCACATGTTTTCCAGTTGCGCCTGGCTTGTCATAAGTAATGAAGGTCATGTTAGTTGATTCAAGTAGACACTATGATTGAAGGAGGGGGCACATAAAAGAAAACAGGCTTGTGAAACACTTACTCAATGTTAAAAATTTGGTTTTTCGTTTGATTGCCGCTATGCTTTTCCCTAGCACATGGATAAAGTTTTCAAGCATAAAGAACTGCAACAGCAACTAGTGGATGCCAAGCTTCAGCAGACAACACAGCTTATAAAAGAAGCTGAAGAAAAACATCAGAGGGAAAAGGACTTTGTAAGTGTTTTTCAGAGAAGGACTTGAGATAAAAATTCCTTAATTAGTAAGTTGTCATAGTAGCACGTTTAGACCTTTTATTATTACAAGCTGCAAATTCTGTTTGTTTTTTGATAGTACTATCAGTAGCCTATGTAGATTAATGGGTTCTTAAATTGTATACACCACATTGTTGCAGGATAACTTTGTAATAATACAGTGTCTGATACAATTTATCTGTATGCCTGTTGGCCCTATTGCCTTTTCCTAGCTACAAGTGCATGTTTGCGTAAGTATATACATATCAGATGTGTAGTCTTTCCTGACGTTAAGGTATTCTAGAGAGAAAACAATATTTTCTTTCTCTTCAGCTGTTAAAAGAAGCTACTGAATCCAGACACAAATGTGAACAGATGAAGCAGCAAGAAGCCCAATTAAAACAGCAGGTAACCAATTTAAATTGTGATTACTAACTTAGTTATAATTTCATAAATGAATTTTCAGAAGTCTCTTAAAAATTGAAATTATTGAATCTAATAAGCCTAAAAGGATTCTCTGGAAAGGGGATACAATAATTAGGCAATTATTTCCCATAGCATTAGGCCTGAATGTCAGTTAACAGGTACTAGTCACCCACTGGTGCTATAGTTTGAGGCTACATTAACAGGAAATTTCTTTCATAGCCCTGAAATGTATATGGATAACCTTATCTCCAAGGTAATTCAATTTGTTATAGGCCACGTCCATTTAAAAAAAATTACTGCTGATTTCATAGACAAACCAGATTGAGAAGACCTTTTTAAAAAGAGCATTAATAGACAACAGTATGTAATGCATTTCAATTCTGATGCCAGTTTGTCTTGCTGTGATGGGGCAAATATATTTCATAAGGTAGCTATATTTTATTCATGCTGCTATTTTTAGAGTTCTTCTTGCTTAAATACTATATCAGATGTATCTCCAAGTATCATGTGATAAACCACTTATAAGGACACATTTTTATATAAACCTTCCTTGAAAGTCCCCTGGATTAATATTCATTCTTTTATTGTTGAAATTCTTTTATTAGCTGAAATCTAAATGTCCCTGCAAAATTATCCATGTCTTCATCTGTTTTGTTAAATTAACCCTTAGCTCTCTTGTTCCTTTATTCCCTTTGTTCCCGTTATTCTGGCCAACACTCCCCACAATGGTCTATAGTCAATATGAAGAAATAACACAGAAAGCAAGCCATTAGTTGCACAAAACTTTCCTGTACTTGTGTTGATATTTTGTTTTGTTTATTCTGCAGTCAATAATTATTCAAATTATTATTACTTTTTTAATAAAAAAATGAGGTAGAAAATATGATTCAGTGCAGATAAAAATATGTGTTTAAGGTGATGTGTTTGGGTTTTTGCTAAGTTACAATTGCTATAGAAGTTCTTATGGTAATGTAAAAATAGAGCTAGAAATTCTTTAATATTTAAATAAATTTTAATCCATTTAACATACCTTAGCTTATAGGCATTAAACAGTGATGCTAGTGCTAACATAATGATAGCAAAAAAGTGATTTACATATCTGCATCAGACTTTGGAATGAAAGTACATAAGAATAGAGATTTGTTTCATGACACCACTGTATGAGTGTTGTCATTTTGATATAATCTTAGTTTGTTATAGAGACCTGTGCCTCAGCTTTTATCTTTTGAAAGCTAACTAGGTCTTTTTAGGCAACATCTAGGCAATGTTAGTCTTCATGTAGGACCAAATTAGCCATTCAAAACCATTTTTTTGCTATTTTCTATACATTTGTAGTGGATAATTAATATATTGTGCAAATAACTCTAAATTATGTATCTAAATTGGATTTAAACATTGTTACCTTTAGCTTTCTCTTTACATGGATAAATTTGAGGAATTCCAGACAACTATGGCAAAGAGTAATGAACTTTTCACAACCTTCAGACAAGAAATGGAAAAGGTATTTTATTCTCTTACCTATTTGTCACAAGAAGATTTTGTACTGTTCCTGATTTGTCTGTGTATTAATGGAAATAAACCTCACTGAACTCAATGGAGTTCATTTCTGAATGGGCAAATGTATCCAGTTCCCTCCTTGGAGAACATGTTTGCATCTACCACATCTGGGCACCACTTCATACATTGCCTTGTGTTTTTTAAACATCTCACCTGTTTTTGAGAGTCTTCTCCATTTCATCCATCCTCATTTTTTTCATTCATTCTCTCGATCCATTCACTTTGTCTTCATATATTTTATTCCTATTCAATCTCTTGCATTTTCCCTATATGACCAAATGACCTCAAAATACTTCTTATGGGATGGGCATTCACTTTTCTATTAATTCCACATTCATTCAGCACCCATTCATTCTAGACTCTTATCACTTCTTCTTTTATCACACACACTGAAGTACCTAATTCCCATGCATTAATTTCTATGTCTTTCCTGACATACCTCTCAGTTCCATAGAGCACATTGTACAGAAACGCAATCTTCAATACTATACAATATCCAGCTATTTTTAATTATTTTGATAAACATTCATTTCTTGCAACAGACAACATTCTACCCACTACCTTTCTATCTGAATTTGTACATCTTATTTTCTTTCCCATCTTTAGTAAAAATTCTGTCAAAGTATACACATTCATGTACTCGCTCTGGTTTTTTGCCATTTATGTGTAACTTGCAATCATTCACCTAATTACCTCAGTCTTTGTTTGGTTAATGTTCTCATCCATGCTGCTGATTGTATCATACAATCTGTCTTAACATTTTCTGTAAATTATTTGGGTTCTCAGACTCATTTGTCTTTGTAAAATGATCATGCACTTTGTTTTTAATCTTGTGAAGTAAATAACATTTACCTTTTTAAAATTAAATCTGGATTAAATCTCAAGAGACTGGGCAACCTAGATATTGAAGTGGCAACCTCCGTAGGTTATAACGTTCATTTCCAGCAATTTGCTCAAAATCAGTGTAATTAATTTAATTTCAGATGACCAAAAAGATTAAAAAACTGGAAAAAGAAATAATAGTGTGGCGTACAAAATGGGAAAACAACAACAAGGCCCTCCTACAAATGGCTGAAGAAGTGAGTATCAGTTTCCATTCTTAAAAATCAAAATGCTAATATGTAGTTTCTTCTGTACAATTTTGTAGACAGTGAACTAGATGAAAACTAAAGGTAACCCAATGACCAATTAGAAAACAGAATTTCAGAGAATATAATGTGATTATATGTGGTTTACTTATAATTTAAACTGATAAATTTGCTAGTGCTATGTTTCATAAAAATGTGTGGCCATCTTCAACATAAAAATAAATGTATTCTGTTTATGTCTGAATATTTTCAGTTATCTGGAAAAAGACTGGAAGTGTTTTTTATTTATACAGAATAAATTGTATATCACTTTCATTTAAACAATGTCATGAGTAGGGGTTGCAACAGACTTTTCAGATTAGAGGAGGAGACTTTTACATGGGAAATTAGAACTTAAATACACCAAGAAAAGGGAACTGGAATTGTGGTCATCTTAAATATAGATTACGAAGCTGTAACTGGATAGTAGAAAAGGGTAACCATCAACAGTTTGTGTAGTTTTCTCATTTGCTATTCTAACAGTTTTCAGTGCATTGTGTAAGATTCACTTGGGTCCTGTATGATATCTTGTTTATTACAGAAGACAGTTAAGGACAAAGAATACAAAGGTTTCCAAATAAAACTGGAGCGTTTGGAAAAGCTATGTAGAGCTCTTCAAACAGAAAGAAATGAGTTGAATGAGAAGGTGGAAATTCTTAAAGAACAGGTTTCTTCAAGAGAAGCAGATGTTGATCTAGCTGTACCTATATTGCAATCGTGCATGCTCAACTCTCATGAGAAGCTGGAGATTTCTACGAATAAAGAGCAAGAAGGAATCCAACCAGGTGTTGAAACAAGAGTGGCAAACGAAAGTTCTGAAAAAACTGTCAGTTTGGTTTCCATTCCTACCACAGATTTTGTTGACTAAAATGTAAACACTGTATTAAGAGATATATTTTGTGTATAACTTTAACTGGTGGTGGTAACTATTAGTTTTGTGGTGAAAATTTTCTTACTTTTTCTACCATATCTGTATTTTCTTAGAACAGAACAGAATTTGCCTGGTACAGGAAGCTGCATAGCAGCTATTGAATAGCTTATCTATAAAAAAATCCACAACTGTATTGCACATTTGCCTTTTTTTATACAAAAAAAAATCATTAAGGATGCATGCAGTGTTTTTCTTCTTGCCCAGTAACACATTACCGTGTCATAGAAGACCCACATGCAGATTTGTCATCATGTTAAAGGAACAGCTTTGATCAGTGCTGCAGACTGAGCTTAAATCTGTGTAGTATATTAAGGTTTTAAAACTGAGGTGAAATTATCAAATAGTACAGCAAAATACAATTTGGCAGGTGACTGGCCATACTGATATGAAAAAGCTGAAAAATCTTACAGGGTTTAGTGTAGCTGCTAACTTGCCTACAGCTATTATATAACTTTGCAACTGGAAAAACAGGGTGTACAATTCATATTTCTCAGGATTGTCTGATAGTCAATATAAATTAAGTAACTGTTGCCCTTCTTATTAAATTGAAGGAACTAAGGCAGAAAACAAGCATTCATATTTTGTCTAAATAGCCACTAACTTAAATCCAGATGTACTTTGAATGCACTGCTGTTGTCGTAATGATTTTTTTTTTAATGAGCTGTAATCTAAAAATTGCTCTCATGCATAGTTGCAGCTTATAAAATGCAACAAGATTTTGGTTAGTGGTTACTAGATAAAAAATATATACCTTTGGGTTTGTTTTGTTTTGTTTTGGGGGGCAATTATTTCATTCGGTTTGGTGCCTACTTATTATGTGAGCATGTATAAAATGCATCATTACTGAAAATGAACAACACTATCAGTACAGGAAATCCTAAGGTGTATATTTCACAGGATACACATTCTTATAAAAACTGGTCTGTCCATGATAAAGTGTACAAATTATATAGATAATTTATCTAATTCAAAATACAAGAAGAATATTCTGGTCTTCTCAACTCTTACTTTTGTAAAATGAACTGTCTTACTAGACAAAACATATACATAAACAGAAGTGCCTTCTGATATCTAAGTTACTTTGAATTTGGCACTTCAGTATTTATGTTGCTAACAAATGCACAACGTACAAGGCTCCACTTTTTAATTTGTTTTACTGTTTTTTGTACTGTGGTTAGAATTATGAATGTAGGGTCAGTTGCAAAGGTTTAGGTATCTCCCATAATCTGATTTAAAAAAAAAAAACAGGGACCAAAAGAGTACTGCTAGGTTACATGCTGCTGTTAACTCTGCCTACATATATCAGCTTTCTAGTTGTTGCTATTTGCGGCAATGTAAAAAATACCGAATTCTGGTACCTAGTTTGGATTCATTTTCCTGAAGCTTTTCTTATTTAAGCACACTATTGATAAATTCTCTTTATCTACCTGTATACTCTTCTTACAGTTTAGTTGCAAATTACTTGAATTTAAGGCTTTACTGATGTCCTATCCTTACCTAGTACAATATACAGTGTGAAATATCCTAATAGAAACAAAGATTGAAGAAAACCTTTAGGATATTAATTCATACCTTTGAGAAAAATCAATTGACATTATTAGTGGACTTGGCAAGTCATGAATTGGAAACTGGAACTTGTATTCTAGTTCTTAAAATGATTTTGCATTCTCTTTTGTATGAATTCCAAGTTCTGTAAGGTAAATGGTGTATAGTGGAAAATACAAAGCCCAATTATGCTGTCATAAGCATAATGGATACTAGAGAACCTTTCATCAAACAAATATACAGCTAGAAGTGCAAACACTTTCAGCTTGTAGAAGAGCGAAAATCAACTGAGAAATTGGATAGTGGAACACATGCATGTTGAAAGTAAAAATTGCAAAGACATTCCCTTCTAGGTACGGTACTTGGATTAGTTTTACCTATAGCCACAACTGGCCAGATGCTTACTCTTATTTGTAGGCAAGAGGAGTATTTTTTTTTAATCTGTTGCAATTATAGATATAGAAAATAAACGTATTGAAATAATGACAGCTTTTCAGAAGGCTTGCTCATGCAATTCTTCTCCATCTTTTTCTTAAGTCTAAATGATGGTTTTGTTTAAAGTCTCGAGACATTCCATGCATTGAGCAATAGAGGGCTAGTAGAGAGGACAAGCTCATTACTTGTCTCTTGCCATATAGTGGGATACTGCACTGCCATTTTTCTGCTGATTTGTTCAATGTACTTTAATTGTACAGCTCATGCTTATTACAGGCAGCTAGCTGTGTGTAAATTGATAATCATGTGCTTATAAAAAAAGAAAGCTATTGCTTATACCGTCCACTACTCCATACCTCCAGTTGATTTGCATCCAATGTGTTCAGTATAGGGGGTGCACAATTTTTACTATTGTGTAACTTGGGCTTCAGATACTCAGTAAATAGTTAAGCCCTAGAATCATTTAGAACACAAATAAATACATGCACATTTTAGGGCTGTATCTTTCTAATCCATTCTTTTCTTACACCTGGTTTTGTTGCAGTTCAATTCTCAGGTGTTGCAGAAAATCTACCTCTTCAGACCATAGATGGAAATAACTGTGAAAAGTGATGCAGAACTTTAGTTTGTGCTGAACACTGCTTTATTATTGCAACCCATACCCATGAAAAATGCTGACTAAATAGGCAGTCTTGGTTTTTGCTTTTCAGGAACATTTTGTAGAAATTTTTCACTAATGTGAAACCGAAATTTTATCTACTCCGTTCTGTATAGATTAAGTAAATATGTGTGCTTAATATATTAGACTCTGTGTCTTTTATTCTAAACTCAGATTGGCTTTGTACTCATTATTGAGTTTGTATGCAGATGTGTGATCATCATTGCAATGTTGCTTGAGTTAAAACACATTAACAGTCAGTTTTGTATCTCTGGTTTTGTATCAAGGAAAGATAGAATAGAAATTACAATTCTTAGAGCTCAGTGCCTAAAAATGTAAAAATGGCTCCTGTAGTTATAAATACATGGTAAGGTGTGACAATATTATGATTCCTCATGTTTATTGACTGGCTGAGGGCCTTATAACCTAAGACCTCTAAAATTTCCATAGCCTGCATCTCTTCTAAGACAAGCTTCATACAAACACACCTCTAAATTAGCCATGTGCATGGTAAGAATTAGGGAGAGTTACGTGTTAACAATATACTATGAACCTGTACTGTTTGCAGAAGTTGAAAGGTATTGATACATGGAGTTTTTCTGCTAGTTGATAGAATTCTTGATGTTATGTTGACATGAAAGATTATTGTTGAAGGCTGACCTATGTGAGCAAGGTTTACTTAATGTAAGAAGTTGAGAGCAGCCTAATATTTGAACCACAGAGCAAGATGTAGGCTTGTAACACACTTATGTATTATGGATGGGATTTTTCAAAAGCTGTGGTGGTACTCTGTCTCTTCATCAGAATTAATGATAAATGGGGGATTTGACATCACTGCTCTAAATCTAACAGTTCTTTATCACTATTCAGTACAAGCTCAATCATTATACTGGATTATTTGGCTGATAGGCGTGCATCCCACAAAATTCTCTTTAAGTCTTACTGCCTTTTTAAAGAGTTTTAATTACTCCATAATAACATATTCAGTAACAAGACAAAATGTAAGCTACTTTCCAAAGACTAAATTTGTCTTGTCTTGTATTCCCATATCCTTATCCCGTTATTATATCCCTATTCTCATAGGTGGAACTATGAGAAGTACTTATTACCCAAAGAACAAAAGTGGTTTTGGAAAAACAGAATAAATGAAGATAACCTTTTTTTAACTTGATGGTTGAGAATCAGATTCAATTTTATCCTGCTTCATGCGTTTCCTGGTTATTAAATTCAAGCAGAGACCCATAATTTCAAACAATATACAGACATCTCTTCTAAAATGGTTTACAGTGTAATTTATTATGAAATTTTCACTATCTGGATTATGGGATAGCATATAGCAAACTCCTTTTCTAGAAGTTTGGAAGAAGGCAGAATTAATATTTTACTCTTAATGCACAGTTCTGGATAGCATTGGACTCAAGGGCAAGGCTTGTTCAGTAAATACCTTAATGTGATCAAAAGATCTGAAGTCAAGAATTCAGTAAATCTAGTCATATTATTAGCATGATTCAAAGCAATATATTTAATTTAGAGGGCAGTCTGATCTTTACTACAGCAACTACAGCCACCAAGATATCTCCAATTAATATTCAGCTTGGTAATGTCAAAAAATGAGTCAAGGAACAATAACAGACAGTGAGTTAAGAGACTGACAAAACCAGAAAATTATTTTTATCCTTTTCAGAATATAATCCTTTTGTTGGTAGTCGTCTGCATCATAACCTCCTTGAAATGTATGTTGTACAAAAGAGCTGCTTGATGAAAATCATGGAACTTAGAAAAGGATCATCTCTAAAAGGTAATCTTCCCAACATGTCATTCAATGCATGCAAACATAATAGGTGTCTGAACATGCCACTCACGGTATTGGTTTACAGTTAGATACAGTTTCCAAATATGTCAACAACTGCACTGGTAGCAACATTTTGATTGTACTTGACATACTATTATATATGTGGTTTCGGTTAGGTATGCCGTTCTGCTTTATCATATGTAATGTATGTTGCAGCCCACAGCATTTCAAAAAAGGTTAACTAAAAACTAGAATAAGAACCATAACTTAATATTTAACATGCTAATACATAGGTAAGAACATGATCAGAATATCATCGAGCAGCAGAATATCTTGCTTAGGTTAATAGGCTTTGCTTTCAATACGAATCAAAGATGAACGCTTCTAGGTCAGGTGCAGTGAGTAGAACAGGAAAGGGCATTTCCAGAGGATATGTGCTAAAACACTTTTTAATCTGGAATGTGATCATTCATATAAATGCGAAACAAATGCAAACAAAATCATTTTAAAGCGATGCTTTTTTTCAGTGTCGTTTTTTGTTTTCTTTTTAGAGATTATTTTCATTTCTAAAGAATATAAACTTAATTTTTGAAATGTTCTCCCTAGTTATTATCCTTGTTAAACATGAATCTGCATCCTATTCCTTGCTACGAAGGTTTCTTACATACAGTATCTCAAACCCAAATGTGGAACAACAGGATAGGTTCTGAAACAAAACATCGCTGTTGCCTCTCTTATGCCTTATCTGGATTATTGCTTTGCTTATCTTTTTCTCACTCATGGGTAGAGCAGGGAGAAAACCTAACATGCAAATTGCACTGCCTCGGCTTAGCATATCCAGTCCCTTGTATTATCCACCAGAAAAACGAATAGATCTCTAAAGTTTGGAATGTGGGGTTAGGAAGATAACTCTGCTAATAGAACACAACTCAGGCCTAAAGTACCTAAACAGAAACATCAGCAACATCTAGTACCAGAAGAAAGTTTCAGGTCAAAAGCATGTGGCATAAGGGTGAAGGCATCCGACCTTGATGTTTAGCAAAACGTTTGTGTTTAGATAAAATACAGCACATGCACTTTATTATTCTGATATATTGAACCCAAATGCTTTTATGTACAGTACCTTGTAAAAGAACTAGAAGGCAATGATAGAAGGTTGCATGATGCTAATTTCTGCCCTCCTGTCACTGACTGCCTATTGTGAAAAACAGAACGTTTCCTCTCTTATTTTTCTTTGAGCCAAAGAGGAGGCAATTTGATGTAATAAACCAAACAGTGTCCATATAAAATTAAGCAGTACATAACTCATCAAGTCCTCTGTCCTTAAAGTGGATCCAGATGTTTTTCTCACCGTTGAATTTGCAAGAAAATTACGACTTTCTCCTATAGACATGCAGCTGTTGATCCAGAGAGCATCTGTTTCCACGGGAGTTCATAGGAAACATTCTAAGTTCATAGTTGTCAGTCATTGCTAAGGGGAAGCCAGAAAAAAGGAAGCAATTATAGCCAGTTTGTTGAAAAGAAATGTAACAGTGTTCATCTTACTCAGGTTTGGTAAAATCTGCATCAGGCTTAGGCAGTAAGGAAAAAGGGAGTTTAAATTTTATCTGATTATTGTAATTAAAATTATCTGTTGCATACATCATCTACATGCTGGATTACTTGAGCTCAGTTTGAAGAAATTTAAATATTTATTTTGAATGCAAGAGCTAAGAGAAGCATTACTATCAAACATGCTCTAGTAAACATGGGCAGTTTTCTGGCAATATGATTTTTAAAAAATCAAGGTGCGTCTACTTAAATATTATGCAAGCGTCAAAAGGCTAAGGATAGAGCAGTGGATAGAAACTGGCTCTATAGAACCTAGGCTGCAGTTCCAACCAGTCTCAGATAGGATGCTTAATAATCAGGTATAATAATTGAAAACCAACAAAAGCTTTCTGTTCCTGCCATACAATTGTACCTTTCATTGTTAAAAAATTAATAGCAAGAAACAATTCAAAAGTTCATGCTTTTGTATACTACAAGAATTTACTGGGATAAATTTAAAAGGCATTGAATATATTTTACCTAGCACAGTATGTAATCATTTCAGTTGCATCAACAGTCAATTCAAAGTTACAAATACACTCACTTCTGTTCATGTAGTAATTTAAAATAAAACAATAGCTCTTGATGACAAGATGCGTTTTAAAAACGGTGACTAATAATGTTTGTAAGGTGTGGGAAATAGAGATATCTACATCTTCATATGTGCTGGTGTCAAAGCCTTTGCCTCCTACTGAGGAGTCTACAGTATGTGTTTTGTCAAAAAACGAAGATGGTTTTGAGGAATGGATCTTACATTTCCAAAAAGTGGGGAACCAGTAGTCTTAAGTATAACTTCATATTAGTCTCTTAAAATATATTATAAATAATGATATTCAAAGACCTTATTTATTCAGTTTGAATTATATGTGTACATATAAGTATGTTGGGAAATAGTTAACCAGTCGCAATACCTTTACTAGTGAATGACGCCAGGCATCTTGATTCTGACTGATACAGCACTAAAAAAACTTTCCAAAACTAAGAGCACGTCCGAAGAGTGATTGCTAACTGCTACTTTATAGCATGTCCTTACAACATTGCCTTCATCTCACCCCAGCCAGTCATCCATAATTGTGGATGACAGTGTTACCCAGGATTGGATGGTCAGCCGCCGGTGAGAGCACCCTTGAGTCGCCTTTATTGTTGGTGGTGTTGCCATTGTTCATAGTACTGTTAAAGTAGTACTACTTTAAAAATACTGGTTGAAGTAGTATTTCTTAAATTATTTTCATATAATCAATGTTTGGGAGTTGATGAACAATCTGAAACTTCATGAAGGGGTCGATGAGCTGAAGAGTTTGGGGACCCCTGGCCTACATCGTTCCAGCTTTGGCAGCACTGTGACTGTACTCACACACACTTTTCAATATGTAATAGGGAGATGACGTGGGCATCCAGTAAGAGTCACATGAGCTGGTTTTGGTGAGCCAATGTTATGAGATCATGATGTCGAGATGGTGAACCAGAGGAGGACAGCAGGGCTTCTGCCAAGGGCTGGTTTGCCTAAAGCAAATCCTGTGGCTGCTCATGGGAATCCAACTCTCTGGTGACAATTGGCACCATCCAATGGTACTTGTGTGGCAGCAGCTTCATTCAGTGTCACTGGGTGTGCGGTTAGTGGATCATGATGATTCTGCACAGGATCTACTAAGCAGGGGTTATTTGTAGTCTTTGAGGAACATGTTGGTAAGTTTCCCTATAGGTCTTGTTGTGGTATGATATGGAAATGCTTTTAGGGATACACATATG